AACAGATATATAACAAGCGATTGCGTACCTCGTACTGAAAGGGACCGTCCCACTTCTTGGGGGTCCACTTGGTGTTCAATAGCTCGGTGTAGTATGAGTTGGAAAAGGTAGTGGGTGCGAATGTCCATGGGCCAGAGTATCCAGACGCTTCAGGGTGGCAGCGACCGAGGGCGTGTGCTCCCAGCAAGGCAACTGTGAAATAGGATGCATACAAACATATTATGTATGACATATACATGAATATTATGTACAAGGAATTAAGATTAAAAGGACGATTGTGATCTATTTTGCATATGCATGGACGTTGTGGGCACAGGAATAAAGCAGCTATGAAGTAGCTTCTATGTTATATCTAACACACTTGCAGCAAAACATACATGCCAGCAAAGCGCTATGACTTCTACAAGATTTCCTATCGCTCCCATTAGTGTGCTCAATCATATCTGAGCACATTTCAACAAACACCACAGACGCTTTGTATGTTCAGTACACAACTACTTTACATCGCTCAGATTGCGGGGTATACACTTGTAATAAAAGCTCAGGCCAACAACTGTACCTACCAATCTCACGATCATTGAAACCCATGCGGTAGAAGATGTCTCGCACGTGCTGAATGGTGGCAGGCTCAGAACCCTGAGTGTGGTTGCGTATAGAAAAAAACCCCAGGACCAGTAGCATTAGTAGTTATTCACATACGGAGGCTTTATGCACGAACGATAAACAACCTCTTTACCAGTACAATTACTTCCCGAACCCCAAATTTGAGTAATGTTTGGTATCGTCTTGGTATGCTTGGTATGCATGGACATTGATCGTCAAAAACGGTTCAGGTTATAGGAATGCGAAGGCTATACGCATCACATAAATCCTCGACAGAGCACAACTCATAACAGACAACCTAATACGCGACAAGACGTTTAAGATATTCCGACGGTAAATATATGAAAATACGACAGAGACAAGACACATAGCCGACACTGTAAGGAGAGGAGGTGCAGGCTCGTTGTCTTGAATTCCGAAATTCAACTGTGTGAACATGTTCACCTACAGGGTATAGTTTAGTTAATACCTTACAAAAGTGGTACTTTCGATAACTAACATATACGATGAACCATCATTTGACAGTACGACACACCTTATCAGCATCGGGAAGGGTACCGTCAGGAGGACATGAGCTTCCATCTTCCTTGTCAACACGGCCAGAGTGCCACTCAATCTTAGGACCACCGGTCTCCTCAATAACCACCTTACCTGCAACACAATGCAAAATTAGAGGCTTAGCCTTATCACAACGACTTTGATATATGACAAAGAAAGCACAGAGTTATACATGCATGATGTACATTCGGTATGATGATATATAGCGCATTGTTCCGTTCTACAACATAGGTGTAGTTGGTCTGTATAATTCTAGTGAGTGGTTACGCATACATATATATAAAGTACAATGCCTGCCTTCAATGCCATATATGTATGCGAAAGGGCGCGCGGATATTTGGATTAGAGACTGAGGAGGAACAGCTACTTTGAAGGACTAATCAACGACATATGCACCAGCATGTATTGACTAGGATAACCGAAAAGTGTGTGTGAAACTTAACCGAATGTAATAGCTGCGATTGTTATACGTACACGCCTCTGCGAACACATCAACACAGAAACCAGCAGATACTTACCATGCACGATGCAAAACTCATAGATACAATAACACACCTGCCAAGGTCCACAAGTCTCCATAAGAGATACCGGGGTTGGCCTTCTTCACAGGCTCTAGGGCATTTCTGGCGATGTGTAGCCCAGCGTTTGCACCAAAGTCGGACTCGGGCGCAAATCGCTGCGTACCTGCAATATCGAGTGCGTGTACGCGTGCTATCAATACACCTATCAAGAGTGTGTGTGTGTTGTTAATGTACATATCGAGTGTCTGTACAAATCCTATACGCTGAGATTAATGCATACGAATAGAATGCCTTTCGAAGCTGACAGCGTACGCGCAAGCTCGGATCGTCTATCTGGAGTGCCATCCACACAAACATGTGCTACATGAACAAACTAAAAATATAATAGGCACAATTAGAAGGCTATGTCAATATGGGTATAAGATTCATGGATGAAGCATACGCTCCGAACTATAGCGCTGGTTCGATGTGTTTGTGTCCCAAAGCTGAAACGGCAACACTGTCGAAGAGTGAGACTAACACCGACTACAATGAATCTCGACGGTTAAGTTCTTAAACGAAATACACCTACTACGCTGCGAACATCTATATATATCAAAATTATCTATATATATATATATATATATATATATATATGTATGTATGTATGTATATGTATATATAGATTAATGTATATTGTATATAAAGATAAATGTATATATATATGTATATATATATATCTATATATATGTGTGTGTGTGTGTGT